TATTATTTACTAATCAACCTGCCAGTGGGATTTGGGAGCCACAAAAGGTGGCTTTTTAAGAAAGACTCTAACATTTTTCTGTTTTAATGACATTCTAATCTCCAAAAGCCATTAATTAAATTCATAGACCTCTACTCTAGAAATAGATGTGACGTTTCCATTAAGTTACCTGAAATTAGATGGACATGCTTTTCCAAAGGAACAGATGGGTGCCTGCCTTGCTTGGATCAGGATTTTAAAAAATACAATGTTTTTAAAGAAAGTAATACAAAAGGCATTTTTTTTGAGTTAAAAGGAGTGAAAAATATACTGGAAAGTTTACCTCTCCATAAATGATTCCTAAAAAAATTATTTATATTACAATTAAAAAAATGAACTAGCTAAATGTCCTCAATGCTTATGCACACACACCCACATGAATGATAACAAATATGTATTTTTTTCAAAAATGCGTCCTGTGAAATGAAGCTTTTCTGTGAAAACTATTAAAATTAATAGGGACCCAAATATATATCTTTAGAATAAAATAAAGGCAGTTTGAACCTCAACAATTTGTGGGTGATCTTACTGAAACAACAGCTCCCACCACCAAGCTGCTGATACTCCCGCTATTGTTGCTATTATTATTATAGAGAGTGTTAAAATATAGGAAGAGTAGGACAGGAAAGATAATTGACATTTTAAAGAAAGCCTGTTCTTGAAATTACTTCTCAAAAACCATTATGTTATTACCTTTAGTGTGCTATATGTTTATTGGAAGCAGCTTTTTCTTATCCTGTGTGATTGGGTCATCCCAAGAATGAAAATTTAAGCAAAATCAATACACTCAATATCCATGTTCTAGAGTAAATACACAGAAGTGTTTCTTGTAATGGGTTTTACTGGCAATGACAAACCATTTTTCTAGTAACTGCTTTAATACTTTGCAATCATTAAAATACAGTGAAGCAATGAAGAAATTGGGAAAGGAGATTGGGAAAGTCATATTTAGGAAAACAGGGGGTGAGCCCTCTAGATCACCGTGCTACAGAATCAAACTGAAGGTCAAAAAGCACTTGGAAAAAATTACCTGGAATCATAACACAGGTGACAATGTGTTTTTAAGGCATCTGAAAGCTTCTCCCATATACCATGTAGTATAAACATCAAAAAGTGTCTACGGTGGTGTTTCAAATACTTTCTTATCTTGGAGAGTACTTTCTGTGATTTAATTGATAATCAACCATTCCCAGAGCAAAGAACAAACAATGAAAGTGAAGTGCGGGCCGGCCGAGTGGCGCGATAGTTAAGAACTCGCTTGGGATGCCAGAGGGCCCCGGTTCGGATCCCACATATGAGGGCCAGTGACACTGCCCTCTACAGCTAAGATGCTGAACAACAGCTCAACCTGGAGCTGGGCTGCCATGAGTCACCGGCGACGGCGTGGGCTGCAGTCCCTGTGGCAGTGGGTTGCCATGGGCTACCGTGTGTGGCCAGCAGCCAGCGTGAGCTGCCAGCAGCCGCAGTGAGCGGCCGTCCAGAAGCCGGCGACTGATCTGCCTCGCCAGAGAAGAGCGCAATGATGGTGCCAACTTGGGCCAGTGAAGCAACATCCTCCACAACTAGATTGAAGAACAAAACGACAGCAACTTGTCTGTTCCCCTTTCCCCAATTCCCCAGCACTGTTCCCATCCCCCCAATTCCCCAATAAAAATCTTTAAAAAAAAAAAAAAGAAAGTGAAGTGCATTGCCTATGAGTAATAATAACAAGAGAAATAAACATAAGTAGAGGAGAACTTCTTTCACTTTTGGACTAGTAATCTAAATCTAACCTAAAAGGAAATTCATATTGACATCAAAGGGGGAATTCACTGAGACAGTCTTTTTTAATTCAGGCACAGTGTATTCGAGTTTTTCCATTTAAAAATCTGTATGCTCAGTCTTGGAAAGAAGTGATCCTTTGTGATGCCAAGCTCATTTTTGAGTAGCTGCTTAACAATGTCCATGGTCATTACTGAAAACGGTTATAATCTGACCACTCAGTTTGATGTTCAAAGCCCTCCACAATCTGGTACAAATAAATTCTTCAGGCGGTTCTATCACTAAAGAAAAAAGAAACTTAAATTCTAAGAAGTCAAATGTATACCCTTTCTTTCACAGCAAATTTGTTGGTAATCTTTAGGAAATGGGCACATTCTTTTATTTGAGCCCTAAAATTCCTTTAGAATGTTGTAGGACTCAAATCAATTGGAGATTGTGAAGCCTGTGACTGGACACATTGGTGAGATCCCCAAGTAGGTGTCTGTCCAAAGGAGAGAACAATTTGAATTTGAGAAAGTGTCCCTCTAACCTTAAATTTTTAGGTGACTGATTTTAGCTTTTTTTGGTTCAGGTGAGTGTATTCCTTGACCTGAAATTATCTAGTATTAAAATTGGAGGCCTATATAGAAATAGAATGAAATTTAACTATTTGATTTGGCAAATTTCTAGGAAAATACTTATTTTGAATGTTTTTTAGTTGAATTGAGAAAAACGCACATGATCACAAAATAAAATTCTCTAGCTAATTATTATTGCAAACAGAGTCATTGTAGTATTATTGCAAATAATTATGGAAAATTATTAATTTAGAACTACTTGGAAAATAAAAACTTCCTATCTATTGGCTATGGTTGTTTTATTGCTAAAAACATGGGCATCTGCACCTAATTTTATATAAAATTACAAATATAAATGATTGTAAGGGATATAAGTGCTGTAAGATTAAGCATTTATTTAAAAAGTACATAGTCTAACATACATAAGTCATTGATCTACTTATTATCCATAAGGGTAAGGTTTGTGTCAACCATATTTGGGAGGTAATAGTGATTTAAACAAAAATATAGTTACCCTGATTATTTTGTAACATACACATAAATGATTATATTGTATGTAATAATTCTAGTATAATAATAATCAAAGAAATTATATACAAATAGAAAAAGATTACATTCAGTAAATTTTGATAAGAGAGTTCTAAATTCAAGAGTTTTATTATAGGATATATGGTAATGGAAAATATTCACAAGCTTCATTATCTTGATACTCTGAAGGAAATATACGTGTTGAAATGATAACTTCCAATATGTCAGATAACTATCAACAAGGAAATACAACTAAAAACTAAGCATGCATATCCTTATACACATACCCTTTGCACACATGATGAAAACACACATTCCTACACCAGATGGAAATGAATGGAAGGAGCTTGCCTAAGGGCAAAAATCTTCTAGAAACATTCGGTAGATATAAAAAGAAAGGCCTCAACCGCCTAACAGCATTGTTAGCTCCTGGTTTCCTGATGCTCAGTCACAGCTCCCAGGTAGCTCTGTGCTTCACATTGGTAGGTGGCTGTGGTAAAGCACAGGTGTGTACATGCACACACAGGTACAGGTACCAGGGGACATACATGCACACGTGAGCAGAAAACGGATGTCAGATCAAGAGAGAGATTTTCAAGAACATAATATAAAGAAATTTGCATGCTAAAAGCTGAAATGCTGCATTGGCATACATGTTATCCTTGAATTAATTGTTACAGGATTGAAAAATAACTCTTTTTCCCATCTGATTACAATTTAATGAATGTGAACTCACAACTATTTAAGGGTAACAAGGAAGGTTTTTATACAGATGGGTGTGTGTGTGTGTGTGTGTGTGTGTGTGTGTGTGCATGTGTGTGTGTGTGTGTGTGTGTGCGCACGTGTGCATGCACGCATGTTAAGCCCTCCACCTCACCCTCCAGAATCATTAACAAGGATAACTTTCCTCATCCCAACATTATTTAAAGGCTTTACTTGCATTTTCTCTTCAATTTCCATTCATTTCCATACAGAAAATAATTCAACCTCGTTTTGTTTTTTTGGTTTTTTTTCTGGCATGAGTAAAGCAGCACAAATAATTGTAACAGTGATTGTCAGATTGCTACACATGCATATTTTTCAAACACAGCAACAGACTGATATAATCATTTTCTCCACTGGCTTGTTCCCCTTATGTAGAGATTGAACTACTCAGAAATCAAACAAATCTTTTAAAGTATTCAAATGACTCAAAGACTTGAACTGTATACTATCCAGACATAGAAATATATGTGGTAAGCTAAAATTTCACCTGAGATAGGTAGAGACTCCCTGCTTTTCATTTAATCCACCCAGTTATTTCAAATTCCAATGTGTTTTCCCAGAGTACCTGAGTCACATTCAGAGCATACTTAGAGATTAAAATATATTGGCTAAATTTATTAAGTTCAGGGGATTTTAATACTGAGCTTTACTAGCTATTGCAACTTATATGAATTTGATCCTGTCCTGCCTTTAGGAATCTATATTAGGGTGATGTGTAAAGATTTTACAAAGTAATGTGTAAAGAAGCCTTTAATATATTTCCAAAAAATAACACTTATCTAATATAGAGCGTAACTGCCTGTGAAAAAGGAAAGATGAATTTGGGGACCCTGTTTCTCAGGCTGAACAGAGTTCTTCAGGCTGTCACGTGCGTTACACCCACAACAAAAAGCAGGGAAAATAATCAGGCCCCTTTCTTGTGTCAGCCCACCTTCCGCTCCATCAGTTTTTCCCCCCCTAACATTTCCTGCACTAGTTCCACAGCAATGAGTAGTAGATTTTTAAATGTTAAATAATTAAGAATAGGGCCACTTAAACTTACTCAAGAATAAAAAATATGAAAAGCCCCAATAATAAAAGAATATTTAGATTCTCTTTTCAACCCCTAACACTGTTAACACAGATTTTCCAGAAATACTAATAGTACCAGTGGAGGGGTCACAGAATAAACGACTTATCAACTATGCTATTTTTCTTAAAAAAAAATACATAAATTCTACAAGTTCCACAGGGAACTCGTGTGTGTCTATATACAGCCCTTGATGTGTGTATCATCTTATGAGCGCTATCATCTAACAAGTAAAATTCAGAGCACAGAGAAGAAAGCCAGCAGACGAAGAAATTGCTCACCTGGAGGAAGCAGATCAACAGACTGAAGTCTAGTTGTGATGGTGTGTAGGGTGAGGATAGCAAAGGAAAGCAAAGTCGGGAATGCTTGAAAAATAAAATATTTTTAGTTAACAAATAGAAAAACCAAGTGGGGAAAAAAGGGCCAACTGAATCATGAATCCTCTATTGCTTTCAATACTTATTTTCAAATTCCTTAGATTGATCAATCCCTAAAAAAAATAAGCTCATTGGTATTTTCCCAGATATCCATAAGACTTTGTCTTTTGGGACGAAACTTACTGGAGTATTTCGGTTTCGATGAGATAGAAATAGTACCAAGTAATTTGAGGAATGCTGGTCGGTCAATTGGAAAAATACTTTTATGATGATGATGGATTCATTTATCTTAAATTAAATAAAAAAGTTTTCTGCAATAGGAGGTAGATGTAAACCAAAATTAAAGTTGTAAACTGTCTATTCTTTAATATCCCTGGGGAGTAAGGTTTTAATGAAAAATTGTACTGCATCTTAACGTTAATTACACACTGTATATTGTCTGGAACAACCGACCATTTGTAATTTAGTTTTTTACTCAATCACCTGGAAACCTTCAATTTTTAAAACATATTGACTTTAGTAATGAGAAATATATAACATTCCTGTACCAATTTCTACTCTTTTTTTAATCCAACATTAAACATTTATGTAATATGAAAATAAGGAAATGCTACAGTTTTGTTTTGTTTTGTTTGAACCTCTAACTTACATGTATCATAAATGTGTATAATTGATCAACTTCTTAGACTTAAAAAAGAACATTTTGTTTGCATTAACGTTATAGAAATGTGCAGTAAATATATGAAATCGCTGCCTAAAAGTGCTGCCAAAAAAAAAAATTGCCAGTCCGTGAGTAAAAGCAGCTCTGTATTTTAAATAATCTCACTTTCTTATTATCAACCTTTCTTCAACATCTGTTGTTAGCTCCTCCCCTGGAATGTAATTATTCAGGATTTCAATGTAAAACAGGTTGCTTAGTTAATAACAGGCAGCTCAAACATTTTTTCCACACTGTTGGCCTACAGATGTTTCTTTTATTTTTTTTTATTTTTTTCCCCTGGCTTCACGTTTAATTTTTGTATATTTCTCTCCAATTTCAAAAGTATATTCCCACAACAGATGGAAAAACCTGAAAATAAGTCTGCCTCATACACTTGTTTAAGTGATGCCTTTTGTGATATTTAACTCAGTAAAGAGAATAGAGAATATACAGAATATTTACATAGCAGAAGGAAAATAATTAATCTGCAAGTCACCTTGTTAAGATGTTCAATTTAAAATTCTGAAGAGACAGTCTAGTTCTCGTCAAAGACATACGAGGAGAAGTTTATAGTCTACAGCCTTCATTTATTATTTTCTTACTGGACTCATTTGTCTTTTTTTGCATTTGACACCATCCTCTTAGATTTTCAGTCCTACCAGAAATAGGAAAATTTTCGTATCCACTGACCATTTTACCATGTAAAAGGCACTTTCCATTCTCTTGATAATAATCCAAACTCAATAACCTAAAATACTTTACATCTATTCAAAATGTTCTACATTTTTTAAATAATATAACCAGAGTCACATAAAGTACAGAACTCCTTTATTCAAAAGAGTATATCTCTTCCAAATTGCAGAAAAAACAGTACAGCCTATGCATAGGGTTGGATATTTTCTCCCCTGATATTCCTGTCCACCAGTAACATCAGAATATGATCTTATTTGAAAATAGGGTTTGCAGATGGAATGACTCAAAATAAGGTCATACTGGATTCAAGTAGGCCCTCATCCAAAATCTGGTGTCCTTTTAAGAAGGGTAAACTGAGGCAGTCACACAGGAAGAATGCCACATGAAGATGGAAGCAGAGACTGGGGTTATGTGTAGGACTGGCATTGCTGGCAACTGCAGAAGCTGGCTAGAGACAAGGAAGAAATGGCCCCTTTCCCCTAGACCCATGAGAGAGCATGGACCTGGTGATACCTTGATTTTGAACTTCTAGCTTCCGGAACTGGGAGAGAATACATATCTGTTATTGTTAGCCACCCAGTTGATAGTATGTCATTATGCCAGCCCTAGGAAGCCAGGACTGATTTGGGTACCTGAAATGCTACTGCAACAAATACCAAAAAATGCAGCAGTGACTTTGGAATTGGGCAACCGGAATGAGCTGGAAGAGTTTTGAGGTGCATGATTTTAAAGAGCCTAATGGCCTTGAGCAGACTTTTGGAAGATATATGGACTTTAGAGGTGATTCTGCTGAGATCTCAGAAAGAATGAGGAGAGCTGTAGGGAAAGCGTCCATCAGCTCAGAGAATACATCAATGGCTCTATCATCATGGACAGAATGGAGATAGGAATGTGAGTATTAAAAGTGCTTCTCGAGAGGTCTCAAGTGGAAGTGTTATTGGAATCCTTTTGATGAAGTAGCCGGAAACTTGGCCAAATTGTTGGATGGAAAGTAGAACTTCTCAGCGATGAGCTTGGATACTAAGCTGAAGAGATTTGCAAGCAAAGTGTGACAGCTGCTGCCTGGTTTCTCCTTGCTCATCACAGTGCAATGTGAGAGGGAACAGGTTAGTTGAAGAATGAACTTTTAAGCAAAAAAGAAACCAGACCTTGATTTGGAAAATGTTCTACCTATCTAGTAAGCATACTGTGACAATGACAAGGTGTGGCCAGCCAGTCATTTGCTATAGAGAGTGAATGTGTGCTCTGGAGATCTAATCGACCATTTTCAGAGAAGTCGGGATTAGAGATGGGGTTACCCAGGAAGGATCTGTGGAGGGCACTTCTTTCTACTGGTGTGCATCCCTTCAACACCTACAGAAGACAAAGTTACTGAAAATGTTATACTAGCAGAAACATGGCTAATATGGACCGAAAGGGCAGAGATGAGATGGAATAAGGAAAAATGACTCCATAGTACAGATACAGGGACCAGGAAGGGAAGGTTATAGCCCCAGAGCGTCAAGTGGGCTTAAAGGGCAGGGTGACACAGATAATTACTCTCCAGCCTTGGAACCTAATGAAATTTACCGCTGCATTGCCAGCTTCCTTTAGTCTTGTAACGCATTTATTCCATTTTCTCCTTTTTAGAATGAGAATATCTACCCTCCACCTGCTGCACCACTGTATTTTGGGAGCAGGTAATTTGTTCTCTAGTTTGTTAGGTCTGTGGAACAAAAGGGATGTTGCCCTAGGATGGACTATACCCAGAGAATCACACACACCTGACTTAGGTACTGAAATCTGGGGCTTTTTGAGTTAATATTTAGATGAGATTTGGGACTTAGAATTCATGCTGGAAAGAGTGATGACATTTGGATGATTTGGGAGGGGGTGAGTGCATTTTGTAAAAGGGGTGGACGTGAATTTTGGGCTCCAGGGGGTAGACTGGGTTTGAAAAGTATCCCTTCAAAATGTATGTCCACCTAGAAAATCAGCGTGTTATTTAACTTGGAAATAGGGCCTTTACAGATATAATTACTTAAGATGAAGTCACTTAAGTTAATATTAGGATGGGTCCAATCCAGTGACTGCTGTCCTTACAAAGGGGACACAAGAGACACAGAGTCAGCCAAACAAGGAGAACACCATGTGACCATGAAGGCTGAAATGGGAGTGACGTGTCTGGGAGCAACCAGAAGCCACCGGAAGCTACAAAGGAGCAGGAAAGGGTCCTTTTCCAAGAGCAGAAGAGAACATGGCCCTGCTGCTGCCTCGATTGTGGACTTTTAATCTCCAGACCTGCGTGATAATACATTTCTCTTGTTTTTAAGCCACCGAGTTGGCAGTATTTTGTGACAGCAGCCCTAGGAATCTAACAGACTGTCAAAAAAGAAACCTCGAAATATGAAGCACCCAGATAGCAAAACACTACTCTCATGAATGACAATGGGGCAAATTAATAAAGTAGATTCTAGAAAAGTAAAACAAGATTGATGAGATTAAAATGTTGTCTTTTATTGTATGATTCATCAATAAACCAAATTTTGCATAAGGGATAAGTGCATATGCCAGTAAAATTAATGCTGCTGAGTACAAGACTCAACCGAATTCACCCAGGAAGAGAGTGTGCATGTGCGTGTGTGTGTGTGTGTGTGTGTGTATGTGTATGTATGTGTGCGTGTGGCAGGGAGCAAGAGAGAGAGAGAGACTGTTCCAAATCTTACCAAATAGTTAGAATATTTTCTCAAAATACCTGCAAATTAATAGCTCTTTGTGCTTACTTTCTAAACTTCTTTTCAGTTTGTATTAGTTTTCATTTTCATATATACCAATCACATTTTTAGTAATATCTGCATGGCAACTTAGCTTAAAATTTTCATGTATACTAGTAGGCTATTGACCAAAATGTGTGACTGTTGGTGTGTGCCCATACGGACGTGAGCATTTGGATGAACGATGCAATAATAGCTTCTTGTAAAGAGAAAACATATCTCCATATTTATAAATATGGCTTCAAATACTTGCATGTTTTTAATCAGAAACTGACTATGGATAGGATGCATAGACAATTAGATTAAGTCCACAGATACTCAGCAGCACTATCTCAAGGCATATATTAATTAATACATGTTTCCACTTTGGGGTGGAATGAATCCACAAATATTAAAATATTCTATTTATATACATTGATTGGGAGACAGTTGACTATATTTTTTATTTAAATGAAAAAATAAGGCAGAAATAAATTTCCCTTAAGAAATATGACACTAAATTCTACCAAAATAAACTGCATATTAGCAATAGTTATATTCATTATTACCAAAGGCATTTTTTAAATTTAGTACACACACACACACACACACACACACACACACACACACACACACATGCACACTGTGTTTCTTTTGGGCTTTATGTCCCAATATATTCATAATAAATCTTTTTTTCTGTAAGACACGTATTAGTCCATGTGGGATGCTATAATGAACTATCATAGACTGGAGGCTTATAAACAATAGAAATTACTTCTCACAGTTCTGAAGGCTGAAGTGGGCCAGGATCAAGGCACCTGCAGTTTGTGTCTGGAGAGGACCTGCTTTCTGGCTCACAGAAG